CATATCATATCACATCAGAATGTATCATATATTTCCTTATTTGAGTCAGCTTCTTGAGCCGTATCTGGCCGTGCAACACTCACAGTGTCACATACTGTATGCAGAAGTATTATTTTAAGCAACACATTAAGTTGACGAAACACTCGAGTCAAATTCTCCTAATTAAAGTCAAATCCACTCGTGTCTTGGACGGGGCAGTGATTTCATAAACCTGTTAATGTACGCATTCAAACGCTTTTTCTTTTACCAGCTGTATTCACCTTGCAGGTGCAGCTATGTGGCTTATATCCTGGATAAAGTGTTTAAGTCATGGATATTTAAAGTTTAACTTCTTCATATTTTACTAATATTAAAGTTCACTTTTCATTCAGGAAGTATGACGCTGCGCTGTCAGTACGCTTGTCCATGTTTGAGATTGGTCGAATGCTCCAAATACCACCCCTTTCATGTGAACGCGCACCTAACTAGATAGGACACGGCTGGCTTGAGCGATCCACTTGATAACCAGCGTCGTAGTACAGTTTAGCCAGAGCGCGTATGTTTTGGATTGGGCCAACCGGCTAACTCATACATATCCAGGTTAGGAAAATCCGGCTTCGTAGTACAGGCCTCTGGAGCTGTGAGTTTCTCCTCTTCAGTGAAGCAGCTTTATTACTGTCTCCTATTGTCGCAGACAAAGTAGCATTACATGGAAATACTTAAGTAAAGTAAAAGTACCTCTAAATAGTACTTAACCCTTGTGCCCTCCTCGGGCATTTTTGTACATTTTTCCTGACTTTTTTTTTTGATTTGGTGATCATTTCAGCTGTGTTACAGCTTTTGGCATGGATTTTTGCAAGAAGTCTTCTTTTGAGTCAAATTTTTGAAATCCAATGTCGTTTACTCTTACATGTTTTGTATACTCTCGTGATGCATTTTGCACCCTCTGGACCCCTTCGTGGCAAAAATGTACACGCTCATAGAAACTGCTATTAAATCATCATACATCAATATTTTATTAAACTTTTTTTCCATGAATCACTTGAACAACTTCTAACGTGCTCAAAACTACCAAACATCCAATAATTTTCAGGATTTTAACCCTTTAAATGCCTGTTTCATTATTTTAATTATTTAATTTCTCTTAAAAAGAAACACAAAAAATGAATTTCTTTCAATATAATAATTAGTAGAGGGATGGAACTTTGGTGGTTATTAGAGTCTGGGATGTGTCAAAGATTAGCAACAAAATTGATTTGACTGCATTATTAATTTTTACGTAGTGTCAGATACTACCTCTGGACACCTTCGTGGCAAAAATGTACATGCCCAAAACAACTGCTATTAAATCATCATACATCAATATCTTTTTCTACTTTTTTTTCATGAATCACATATACAATTTCTCACGTACTCCAAACTACCAAACATTCAATCATTGGCAGGATTTTAACCCTTTAAATGCCTGTTTAATTATTTTAATTATTTCATTTCTCTAAAAAATGCCTCATTGACTTCCATTCAGACCACATTTGTTGATCTCACTGCCATTGCAGTATAAAACCATGCATTTTGTAATGTCAGCATTTCATTTAGAAGAAAAGTAGTGATATTTGATATTTCTACTCTATTCCAACAGATTACACAAGTTTCCGTGTCGGCCGATGCATTACATTCTTACATTTTTGCCAGTTATATTATGGAGCCGTGTGACTACCAGGGGGCCCCGAGAGTGGTGTGTGTGTGTGTGTATGTATGTATGTGTGTGTGTGTGTGTGTGTGTGTGTGTGTGTGTGGTGTGTGTGTGTGTGTGTGTGTGGTGTGTGTGTGTGTGTGGGTGTGTGTGTGTGTTGTGTGTGTGTGTGTGTGTGTGTGTGTGTGTGTGTGTGTTGTGTGTGTGTGTGTGTGTGTGTGTGTGTGTGTGTGTGTGTGTGTGTGTGTGTGTGTGGTGTGTGTGTGTGTGTGTGTGTGTGTGTGTGTGTGTGTGTGTGTGTGTGTGTTGTGTTGTGTGTGTGTGTGTGTGTGTGTGTGTGTGTGTGTGTGTGTGTGTGTGTGTGTGTCCTTTCCAGCAGCAGACTAGCAGGTCCTGCAGCATGTGACCTGGTGCTCTCAGGTGATAGAACAACAATTTTTTAGGCCTGTGCACAACCAGCACACACCTCTCCTCCCTCTCCGTATGTGTGTGTGTGAGAATCTGTAAGCATGCACAGATCATTTCATGGGAAAAAAAGGCCATCTTTTGAGGGATGTGTTTGATGTGTCTTTGAAGAGCTGCTTGATTACTCAAAAACAAAAAACAACTGTTAGTGTGTTTATGCACCTGGCTGCCAAAGATAAAAATGCAGTTTGACCAAGGGCTTATTTCATTAGTGAGCAGAGAAGGAGAAAGACCTGGAGCAAAGAGAAGGAACTCAAATGAAGAAGCTTTTCAGTGCAGAAGAGACTTCAGAAATAATCTTGCAGCCTTCTTCTGCCAGCTGCAGGACTCATCTGAAGAAGACACAAGGTTCGAGCTGGGGTCTGACACTGAATGCTCTCTGGAGTCCAGCATTTCTTTGAGTTCCTCTGACCCTTCATCTGAAAGTGGAGAGGACACTGAGGGTCCGGCCCACCATCCACCACCACGGGGGGCTTTCTTCTCACAATCTGTGAGGACACCCTGGTTTTCCCCAGCTCCTGGGAGAACAACCTCCGTTCTTCTCTGTCCCCTCACTGTGGGTCGGACCCTCAGTGTCCTCTCCACTTTCAGATGAAGGGTCAGAGGAACTCAAAGAAATGCTGGACTCCAGAGAGCATTCAGTGTCAGACCCCCCCTCAAACCTTGTGTCTTCTTCAGATGAGTCCTGCAGCTCGCTGGCAGAAGAAGGCTGCAAGATTATTTCTGAAGTCTCTTCTGCACTGAAAAGCTTCTTCATTTGAGTTCCTTCTCTTTGCTCCAGGTCCTTCTCTGCTCACTAATGAAATAAGCCCTTGGTCAAACTGCATGTTTATATTTGGCAGCCAGGTGCATAAACACACTAACAGTTGTTGTTTGTTTTTGAGTAATCAAGCAGCTCTTCAAAGACACATCAAACACATCCCTCAAAAGATGGCCTTTTGTTCCCATGAAATGATCTGTGCATGCTTAGAGATTCCCACACACACACGGAGAGGGAGGAGAGGTGTGTGCTGGTTGTGCACAGGCCTAAAAAAATGTTGTTCTATCACCTGAGAGCACCAGGTCACATGCTGCAGGACCTGCTAGTCTGCTGCTGGAAATGACACACACACACACACACACGCACATATACACACACACACACACACACACGCACACGCACACGCATACATATACATACACACACACACACACACGCATACATATACATACACACACACACACACACACACACACACACACACACACACCACTCTCGGGGCCCCCTGGTAGTCACACGGCTCCATAATATAACTGGCAAAAATGTAAGAATTTAATGCATCAGCCTACAGTGGGAAAATGGTTTAATCTGTTGGAATAGAGTAGAAATATCAAATATCACTACTTTTCTTCTAAATGAAATGCTGACATTACAAAATGCATGGTTTTATACTGCAATGGCAATGAGATCAACAAATGTGGTCTGAATGGAAGTCAATGAGGCATTTTTGAGATAAATGAAATAATGAAAATAATGAAACAGGCGTTTAAAGGGTTAAAATCGAAACCGAAAATGGTAGTTTTGAGTACGTTAGAAGTTGTTTATGTGATTCATGAAAAAAAAGTAGAAAAAGATATTGATGTATGATGATTTAATAGAAGTTATTATGGGCGTGTACATTTTTGCCACGAAGGTGTCCAGAGGTAGTATCTGATACTACGTAAAAAATAATAATGCAGTCAAATCAATTTTGTTGCTAATCTTTGACACATCCCAGACTCTAATAACCACCAAAGTTCCATCCCTCTACTAATTATTATATTGAAAGAAATTCATTTTTTGTGTTTTTTTGTAATAAATAATGAAATAATTCAAATAATTAAACAGGCATTTAAAGGGTTAAAATCCAGAAAAGTATTGAATGTTTGCTAGTTCTGAGTATGTTATAAGTTGTTTATGTGATTCATGAAACAAAAAGTAGAAAGAAATATTGATATATGATGGTTTAATAGCAGTTATTATGGGCGTGTACATTTTTGCCACGAAGGGGTCCAAAGGTAGTATCTGACACTACGTACAAAATAATAATGCAGTGAAATCAATTTTGTTGCTAATCTTTGACACATCCAAGACTCTAGTAACCACCAAAGTTCCATCCCTCTACTAATTATTATATTGAAAAATAATTATGTTTTGTGTTTTTTCGTAAGAAAAAATGAAATAATTCAAATAATTAAACAGGCATTTAAAGGGTTAAAATCCTGCCAATGATTGAATGTTTGGTAGTTTTGAATACGTTAGAAGTTGTATATGGGATTCATGAAAAAAAAAGTAGAAAAATATATTGATGTATGATGGTTTAATAGCAGTTATTATGGGCGTGTACATTTTTGCCACGAAGGTGTCCAGAGGTAGTATCTGATACTACGTAAAAAATAATAATGCAGTGAAATCAATTTTGTTGCTAATCTTTGACACATCCCAGACTCTAATAACCACCAAAGTTCCATCCCTCTACTAATTATTATATTGAAAAAAATTCATTTTTTGTGTTTTTTGTCATAAATAATGAAATAATTCAAATAATTAAACAGGCATTTAAAGGGTTAAAATCCAGAAAATTATTGAATGTTTGGTAGTTTTGAGTACGTTATAAGTTGTTTAAGTGATTCATGAAAAAAAAAGTAGAAAGAAATGTTGATGTATGATGATTTAGTAGCAGTTATTATGGGCGTGTACATTTTTGCCACGAAGGGGTCGAAAGGTTGAAAATTCGAGGAGGGCACAAGGGTTAAGTACAGCACTTGAGTAAATGTACTTAGTTACTTCTCACCTCTGCTATGAACCTATGAAGTAGATTAGTTTTGTTGTGTCTGTCGGTTGTATTGAGTTGTCTTGTTTTGTGTCAGCTGTAGTTGTGTTGATTATTTCAGAGACCCAGCCGGAGAAGGAGCACTGAGAGCAGCATGGAGGAGAACAAAGAGACCCCTGGAGCTCAGGTCAGTGTGCACTTCATCACAATATATTCCTAATTCCAGCGTTTCCGCCAGGCGGGCGTCTTGCCGTCATTTGACGCCCTTATTCAGCTCGGAACGCCCTGAACTCGAGCCGAGGGCGTCCAAAAGAGTTTATATCGCTTGAAATGACGAAAAGGAAAAAGGACAAGGGCATCCCTCTGTTGGAGGGGCAAAGGAGTCTGCTGGGATTCTTTTCACCGCCAGCAAAGCGTGTTCCTGTGACGGAAAGTGTACTGCCGGCGAGCCTTGGGGGTGCTAGTGGAGCACTCAATTCAAAATTCAAGTCCAGGGTTTCCCACACATAGACTTTACTTGGGCCGCCCAGGTTTAACGGCCACCAAAGTATATTTCACGACCCATTCATTATTATTATTTTTGTATCCGTCTGCGAGCACCACGCCATCTGCAATCGATTTACTAGTGGACAATAACCCCCGCTTGCTGTACCTGTTCGCTCTGCTATTGCGTGGAGGGTCTGCTAACAAGCGACCAACAGAAAGGTTTATGTTAATGTTGTTGCACCTCACAAATGCCTAACACTGTTATCCCCAAATTAAAGATCACAACCTGTTTTGAAATATACAATATGAATGCACAATATGGTTAGATATAGGTTAGAATGTTGTTGTATACGATACAATTCTTTAATTGTCAGATCAAGTCTGAAATGTGACTTGCATCACAACATCAACATAGACAAATAAGACAAACACAATACATGAGAAAGAAACAACAAACATGTAACATAACAGCAGGATCAGTGAGAGCAGAGGCCTGTACTACGAAGCCGGATTTTCCTAACCTGGATATGTTTGAGTTAGCCGGTTGGCCCAATCCAAAACATACGCGCTCTCGCTAAACTGTACTACGACGCTGGTTATCAAGTGGATCGCTCAAGCCAGCCGTGTCCTATCTAGTTAGGTGCGCGTTCACATGAAAGGGGTGGTATTTGGTAGGGATGCCAGCGATTATTCGATTTTTCGAATATTCGTTACAGTCTCTATAATCGAAAATTATTTTTAAAATTCGATTTTATTTATATATTTTTTTATTATTATTTATGTTTTTCTTTTTTTTCCTGGCTTAGTTTCAACCAAAATATAGACTAATGCTAATAATAGTAATAGTATTAATAATTGTAAATGGCCATTGGTCACACCACCAGTTTGTTTTACTGTAAACTTGGAGGAAGCGGCAGAGTGCAGACTGCTGCTGCCTGCTGCAGCCTGCTACACACCGACCCCGCCCCCCCCCCCCTTCTCCGTCACACGTGCGATTGATTTATTGGCGATATACAGGACAGTAAGAACAACACAACTAAAGATGAACAAAGAAGGGGGGGGGGGGCGGCGATTAATCGATTAATATTCGCCAGGGCTGTCCGATTTTGGAATTTGATCATGGTCAGTTTCTGGCATCCCTAGTATTTGGAGCATTCGACCAATCTCAAACATGGACAAGCGTACTGACAGCGCAGACTTCCTGAATGAAAAGTGAACTTTAATATTAGTCAAATATGAAGAAGTTAAACTTTAAACATCCATGACTTAAACACTTTATCCAGGATAAAAGCCACATAGCTGCACCTGCAAGGTGAATACAGCTGGTAAAAGAAAAAGCGTTTGAATGCGTACATTAACAGGTTTATGAAATCACTGCCCCGTCCAGTGGATCTGACTTTAATTAGGAGAATTTGACTCGAGTGTTTCATCAACTTAATGTGTTGCTTAAAATAATACTTCTGCATACAGTAGGCTATGTGACACTGTGAGTGTTGCACGGCCAGATACGGCTCAAGAAGCTGACTCAAATAAGGAAATATATGATACATTATGATGTGATATGATATGAATGATAATGGGACACATCGACGTCTGCACTCACAGTGCCGCGGACTGTACTTAATGTTACTCTGATCCGGTTACTTATGTCGTAGCTTTCTTCACGCTAATGTTATAATAGTCAGATTGCTCTGAAGATGGGAGGGGATATTCTATTAATTTTTACATTCACACAGTCAGTTGATTTTTGCCGGCCGTCTTTCCTGCAACGTAAGTTTTTCTGTATTTCCTCTATCCTGTAATATGACTTGATAGCTTTAAACTCCGCACACGGAGCTCTGATTGGTCAGCAGGCGGTGCATTCACTGAGTTGATCTCTTAGCCTGCAACCTAACCTCCTCCCGAGGAGGTTAGCCGCTCAGCATAAGTTACCATGGAGATCTAGCCCGCTAAAAAGAGAACCAGCGTCGTAGGACCGGAAAGCCCGAGTTTTCCCTGAAATCAGCCGGCTAAGTGAAAATCCGGCTTCGTAGTACAGGCCTCTGCTCAAAGAGCCTTCAGCGTGCATCTGATCTGGATTCAGCTCTGTGTTTACTGAGAGGATTGACTGGAGCACAAAGGATGCTTCAGTCTGACTTTATTGAATCTCCATTAGATGGTAGCAGTTCAGATTCTCTGTTAGAGCATGCTTTGGGTCCAAGATGATGCTGTTGGACAGCCTCTCAGGTTATTATGGTCTGTGAGTCAGAAAGTCTCTGACAGGGTGACCAACAATCTTTGAGCAGATTTCTAACAGGTGGAGCAGTTTTGCCGAAGTAACAACATACTGATACCGGTTAGTAAAAACCATGAATTAATGCTTTGACAAGTCTGCAGACAGACGGCAGGCGAAAAACCTTTTTTAAATGCGTGTTTTCTGAATGGAGATCGGCTAAGCTAACGTTGTATATGCTCCGACCGTCCACACTCACAACAACGGCCTATACAGACATAAATAAACCAGCGACTGTATTCGCCATGACACAGACAGTCTGTGGTTTGAACTTATTTAACTTCTGTCTAGTTTCTGAACAGATATGAGGAGCTGTGAGCTCTGAGGGCTAACGGCTAACGGCTGATGTTGGTTTTGTGGTTCACATTGAAGATGACGTCACGGCTCCACCTACACTGCGTTACTATAGTTACTGCCCCAGTTCCTAAACTGTATTGGAAACGCAGCATAAAGTGAGCCTGGCCTACCAAGGCCTAACTATACCGTACCAAGCCGTGTGAGGCCCTGCAGTGGAAATGCGCCATAAGTGGATGTCATTGAAGACCTTTACAAGAGCAGTCTCAGTGCTGTGGTTTGGACGAAATCCTGACTGGAACACATCCAAACAGTTATTTAAATGCAAGAAATTACTCAACTGTTGAAAAACAACTTTTTAAATGATTTTACCTAGAAATGGGAGGTTTGATATGGGCCTGTAATTGTTCAATACTGAAGCATCTAGATTATTATTTTTTAAGAGCGGTTTAATGACTTCAGTTTTCAGGGCCTCTGGAAAAATACCTGAGTGAAGAGACTTGTTTACTATGTGAAGTAGATCTGAGGCCATACAATGAAAAACATCTTGGAAAAATCCTGTTGGAATAATATCAAGGCAGCAGGAGGAGGATTTTAGATGTTGTATAATGTCCTCTAGGTTTTTATCATTAATCTGATGGAACTGTGTCATGGTGTTTGAATTGATTTTAGGTGGACACAGAGACAAAACATTTGCTGTACCTGATGCAGAGGCACTGACTGATTGTCTGATTTTCTGAATGTTGTCAGTGAAGAAGGCAAAGTCATTGCACGCCCTGGTGGATAGAAGTTCAGAGGCTACTGACACTGGGGTTTGTTAGTCTGTCGACGGTAGCAAACAAGGCACGTGCGTTGTTTTTGTTTTTGGCAATGATGTCAGAGAAGAAAGACTATCGTGCAATTTACAATTCCAAATTATAAAAGCCAAGTCTCTCTTTATAGATTTCAAAATGAAACTGGAGATTTGTTTTTCTCCACCTACGTTCAGCTTTTCGACACTCTCTTTTTTCTGTTCTCACGGTCATGGCCTTTCTCCATGGAGATATTTTCTTGCCAGTCACTTCCTTTACCCTAGTTAGAGCAATGGCATCTATAACATTTTTATTTTTGAATTACTAGTTCATTTACTGAGATGTTAGCAGGGGCAAGTGTGGAAGAAACATTCTGAGTAAACATTTCCCTAGTGTTTTCAGTTAAATATCGCTTTGTGGTTACCTCTTTTTGAACATTTGTGTGAACAGAAATAGAGCTCTCAAAGGAATGATCAGAGAGTGCAACATCAGTCACCACAACCTCAGAGATATTCAGACCCTTTGAGATCATTAAGTCCAGAGTGTGCCCCTTATTGTGCGTGGGCTCCGTCACATGCTGAGTCAGTCCATAGTTATCAAGAACACAAAACAGTTCTTTAGCCCCTCTGTCCTGGGGGTTGTCAACATGGATGTTAAAATCCCCAACAATGACTAGACGGTCAAAGTCAAAACACACTATAGACAGCACTTCAGTAAAGTCATCAAAAAAAGCTAAAAGAAGCTAGTAAAGAGCACAGCTGAACTCCCGCAGCCCTGGGGGGCCCCTACATTGGTTGTGATGGCAGATGACAGGGTTTTGTTAACCTTCACAAGTTGCTCTCTACTGGTGAGGAAAGCGGCATACCAGTAAATCAGGTATGGATTTACTTCCATTTTGGCAATTTTTGACACCAAGATGTCTGCTTGTATTGTGTTGAATGCTGCTGAGAAGTCTAGGAAAAGGGCTCTTGCATAGGTGTGGCGTTTATCTAAATGTTTAGTAATGATATGAACCAGAGTAGCAACAGTACCACCCCCTTGCTTATAGGCAAATTGGTATGGATCAAGTATGTCTTGTCCGTCACAATAGGTTTAGAGGTCATTCCTGTCATGGTTCTCATGGTGTCCCACACTTTTTTGGGGTCTTTGGCTTTAAAAGCATTTCCCAAAAGCTCTCTGTGTGCCAGTTTTGATTCCCTCAATTTGACTTTCAGTTCTTTCTCTGTCTGTTTTTGTGCTCCATAGTCTTTGTTTTTGAAAGCTATTTTCCTGGTTTTTATAACTTTTTTTAATGTCCTTAGTCACATATGATTTATTACTTGGATAGATTTTTATTTCTTTAGTGGGAACACAGAAGTTAATATAGTCTTTGGTAACAGTAGTTATTTCATCTAGTGAACCTTCATGAAAAATGTCCCAATCTGTCCAATCAAAACAGGCTTTCAACTGTTCCCTACTTTCATTTGTCCATGTCCTTATTACTTTCTTTTCTGGTTGACTTCCCTTCAGTTTGGTCTTATACACTGGTATCATATTCACAACATTATGATCAGAGTTCAGTATTGGTGGTCTGTATTTAGACGCATAGGCTCCTTTATCATTAACAAAGCATTTGTCCAGGATATTGTCTTTTCTGTTGTGATCCCTAACATACTGCTGGAACCCAGGTAACACAGTCTCCAGGCGACATTGCTTCATGTTCCCGAGCACTATTGCCGGTGCATCGGGGTGGCTGAGTTGTAGCTCGAGAACACAGTGTCCTCTGCCGCTGGGAGGCACGTAAACAACAAACAGTAAAATACACCCGAATTCTCTAGGCAGATAAAAGGGTCTTAACGTCATGCCGAGAATTTCTACGTTGGGATTGCAGGTTTTACATTTTACTGAATATGATCGGCACCACAGATCATTAATATACACACAAATACCGCCTCCTCTGGTTTTCCCCAAGTTCGCATCCCTGTCTGCTCGAACAAGGGTGAATCCGGGTACTTCAAAGAGAGATTCAGGCATTGTAGATTGTAGCCAACTTTCCGTGAAACATAATAAAGAGGCCTCAAGAAATTCATTACAGTACCTTGTGTATGTCCTTAGTGTGTCCACGTTGTTGCTCAATGAGCGCAGGTTTGTGAGAATGATGGATGGAAGTGGTGGCCGGCTGAATCTCCGCCGTAGGCGATTCTGAACGCCTCCCCTCCTTCCTCGTCTCTTTTTCCTGGTGTTTCTAAGCGGCTCCAGAGGGATTTCATCCAATATCGCAGAGCACAGGTGGCTTGGTGTATTCGTAGGAGGCCGATCGCATTGTAGCTCTAGCATAGCCTCGCGGCTGTAGCAGCGTAGAGGCTGGGTCTCCTCGCCATACCTGTTCGTGCTGTCACTCAGTCCTTTCGAGTCATCTGTCTCAAGCCTAAATCAAGTCTCAAGTCATGAATACCAAGTCAAAGTCGAGTCTTTTATCAATGTTAGTCAAGCAAGTCTCAAGTCAAAAAAGATGCGAGTCAAGTCATGTGACTCGAGTCCCCCACCTCTGGTATATACTTTGGTTAGAATATTGCTGTATTACTGTATCAAATATAATAAACACAAACAGTTGATAAGTAGTATTTTGTTAAAGGTGGGGTAGGTAAGTTTGAGAAACCGGCTCGAGATACACTTTTTGTTATATTCCATGGAATGCTCTTAACATCCCGATACCAATGAATATCTTAAGTGCTTTGACAAAAAATCCATAAAAAAATGTCATCTGTGGAAGCCGTAATACTGTAGAAAGTACGACCAATCATTTTAGCCGGCCCGGCTAAAATAACTGGATGGCCTACCTGCCTGTCAGCCTTCCATCTGTGCACAAACTTATCTCGTGCCCTCATTGGTCATGTGCGCGTTCGTGTGTGTTGGAGGAGGGGCTCTATAAGGAAGTGGCAGATTTTCTCCGGTTGTGTATTTTCAAATTCTAGCGATCTCGAGCCGGTTTCTCAAACGTACCTACCCCACCTTTAACTCAAGGTTTATATTAAGTGAGTTTTTATTGTGTTAACTTGTGTATTTATGCTTTTTAGATTGACTTTCTCTCTTTCTCTGTCCGTCTGTTCTAGAAACCGAAAGGAAGAGAGAGACGTCACAGCTGTCAGCAATGTGACGAATCCTTTATAACATCTAAAAATTTAAAGATACACCTGCGTATTCACACAGGAGAAAAACCGTATAGCTGTGAAGAGTGTGGGAAAACTTTCACTCAATCAGGTCATCTCAAAACACATCACCGTATTCACACTGGAGAAAAACCGTACAGCTGTGAAGAGTGTGGGAAAACATTCCCTACATCACGTGCTCTAAAATCACATCACAGTATTCATACTGGAGAAAAACCTTACAGCTGTGAAGAGTGTGGGAAAACGTTTAATCAATCAGATCATCTCAAAACACATCACCGTATTCACACTGGAGAAAAACCGTACAGCTGTGAAGAGTGTGGGAAAACGTTCACTACATCAGGTGCTCTAAAATCACATCACCGTATTCATACTGGAGAAAAACCTTACAGCTGTGAAGAGTGTGGGACAACTTTCACTACATCAGGTAATCTCAAAACACATCACCGTATTCACACTGGAGAAAAACCGTACAGCTGTGAAGAGTGTGGGAAAACGTTCACTACATCAGGTGCTCTAAAATCACATCACCGTATTCATACTGGAGAAAAACCTTACAGCTGTGAAGAGTGTGGGACAGCTTTCTCTAGATCATGTGCTCTCAAAGCACATCAACGTATTCATACTGGAGAAAAACCATACAGCTGTGAAGAGTGTGGGACAACTTTCACTGCATTAGGTGCTCTCACATCACATCACCGTATTCACACTGGAGAAAAACCGTACTGGTGTGAAGAGTGTGGGAAAACGTTCACTAGATCAGATACTCTCAAATCACATCTTCGTGTTCACACAGGAGAAAAACCATAGTGGTTTTAAGAGTGTGGGAAAACCTTTTCTTAAAGTATTCACCTTAAAGTCCATGAGCGAGTTTCACTGTTCATTAATCTGCCGAGTAGTTTCTCCAATAATCTGTTTGTTTAATAAAATGTTGTGACTTTAAACTTTGATTGGGATGATTTTGATAGATCCTGTTGAGTTAGCAGTCTGTTTTGGTCTAAAAGAAGAACCAATGATTCATGTACAGGGCTCAACGCTAACTTTTTTAAGTGGTTGCCAGGCTGGCAACCAGGCATCAGCTTTTGGTTGCCAAAACTGAAAATATGGTTGCCATTTTTAGTCACCTTATATTTTAAATAATTAAGATACTATACAGTTATACATCAACTTTATAATGAAAATGGGACACAAAAGAATGTTCAAATGCTTTACAATAAGTAATTAACACAATTATTTGAAACTTAAGTGGTAGTAAACTTGTCCACCCTCAATTGCTGGTATACAAAATACCAGTAGTCATCTGTTGTCTCCCTTTCAAATTTGGGTTTTCTTGACCTTTGTGCTGACCCCCACCATAGATCCATTGGCCCTTCAGCATTGAAGTCTTGGATTGGCCAGACTAATACATTTCTAATGTTAAATAAATTAAAACCATTCATAGTTAAGAATTAGATATTAATTATTAATGCTGTAAATTACCTTTTACATGTCTAACTATATTTAACCTGTTAACCTGTTATGCACCGCCCCCCCGGTACCGGGCGGATAAACGAGTCATTTGCAGGAAACAACGTCTAAGGAATCTTAATATTTAATAAACTATGAATGTTTTATATCCATGTAACGGGAAGAAACTCAGCTAACTGATCTTTTTTTTTTTTAAATCCAAAAAAAAACCACAATGCTAACACTCAGCCTCTGAATTAGCCACGAGCGAAACAATGTAACCTAAAACGGCACCTAAACTCACTCATAACTCCCTTATTACTTATCCTAGATGCACAGCTAACCCATCGATTAGCATCTCCTGGAGACACAGAATCTGTGTAAAAAACCTCAACACTCAGTGATAAACATTTGCGACGCTATAAACGAAAGCGTACATCAGAACATGTGGAGCTAGGTAGCTAGAAACGCTAACATGGCTTACCTTGGTCAAAACTGGTCTTCAATGGCATTAAAACGATAAAAAAACGATGCTGCAGTTAATCCATAGGTTAATCCAATGTGTCTGTGTCCTCTTTGAAATGATTTCTGATAATCCATAAGCAATAAAACTGCTTTTTCGTTTCCAAATGTCAGAGCTAGAGATAGGTCCACTCTGATGCTAAATTACATGCGCGAAGCCCCCACCTCTTCTCTTCACAACGTGTGTGTGTGTGGGGGACTCCCCCTTCGATTCTATTGGCTCTAACGGTCAGAAAGAGGTGTCAACCATCAAAATCGACCAAGGGGGGCCAGAGATATGGAAAAAAAAAACATTTTCACCCAAATCACCTCAGAGGTGGAGTGGTTTTGGCTAAACCTCTCTAAAAAGGTCAAATGTCACTTGTTTTGCGTCAATCTTGATACAGGGTACTTATTATATGTTGTACTTTGGATTCCTAAAGCTTTTAGTCTACTAACCCATCATCCAAGGGTAGTTTTCACTATAAGTAAAAAAGAATATTTGGACGGACACTATAATTTACAGTTTTTTACTATGTAAAATCTGAATTTTCTTTAAAATAAAAAACATCTATATTGATTCTGACACTTCTACATCCAACTCACAGATACCTTGCTTTAATAAAAGAAAGTATTCATATAACCCTTTTAGAAGTTAAGTTGTAGTCATTTGTTTTGGGCATGTCATTTTCGAGCCTGAAACATGAAAAACAGGCTTGGTGCTTAACAGGTTAAGCCCGAGAGACCCCGGTACCGGGGCACTGCCGCAACATCTTGCAGGAAACAGTGTCTGAGGGCATGTTCATTTAATAAACTATGAATATTTTATATCCATGTAACGGGAAGAAAGTCATCTAACTGAGCACCCACAATGCTAACGCTGAGCCTCTGCAACGAGCAACGAGCGAAAAATGCTGCACCGAAATTCACTGTGGACAATCCCCACAGGAGCAATTTGGGGTGAAGTGTCTTGCCCAGGGACACAACGACATGCTGACTGCAGTGGGATTTGAACCCGTGACCCCCTGATCCCAACACCAAGGCTCTACCCACTGCGCCACATGCCTCTGTGTGATTACTATACATTCATAATTTCAGCGGAGGGAGGGGGAGCGGCGCTGCAAGAGCAGGGTGCGAGTGAGAGGTGCCTGTCTTCTTCCCTTTACAAGCTTCAAAAATGTATTTATCATGAGATTTTGGCAATAACAGTTTCATATTCTGAAAGCCAAGACTTTGTTTATTTAAAATCAAACAAAACACCCGAACCCTGAAAAACTAGTTTTTTTACACAAATCCATGTTTATTTTTTAAATGAGCCGTTGCGACTTTTGACTGATTTCGATAGAGTGGGTCACAAATAATAACAAATTGGAAGGAAAAAAATATATACAGATTTCAGTATTCTGAGGCTCTGAGCCCCATTTATTTTCCTCACAGACGGCAAAAAAAAGCCAGACATAATACGATTTAAAATAAAAACAATAATCGTGGCTTGATATTGAGTAAGAACCAACGACTGTATATATAAAGGTAAGAACATGTTTTTATGAACCACACAGCTTCCGATCTTCCAAGACCCGACCGGACAAAAAGACGTGGTGCAGGCACGAAACATACTACCAATAGAAATACATTGCTTTTAAAATCGTTCTGTGTGACACGAAAATCGTGTTGGTGAACACGAATCAATAGATTACATTTATTTCTTGACTATAACACGAAATGCCGTGAGACTTGGTTGCGTAATTAGACCTTAGCTTGTTAGTATGTTGTTATAAATTATAAACTGAGGATTATAAAATCTTGAAGTATTATACAAGTAAAACTACATTTTGCTTTAATTCCATGTAATTGTAGAATAAACACAGTCTTCCTTTGAAGATGTATAAGACAGGTGTCTTGAGTAGTCAACATTACCTACAAATCATTGTACACATTTGTAAATATTATTTTCCACTTGTTACAATTGGGAGTCTATTTTTATGCAGCTCTGCGTGATTTTGTGGCTACAATTCAGGCTAATACGCTACCAGAGGTGGAATAAGTACTCCGATATTGTACTTGAGTAAAAGTAGAAGTACCAGAGTGTAGGGATACTCTGTTACAAGAATAAGTCCCTTAATCAAAATGTTCCTCAAGTAAAAGTAGAAAAGTATTATTATCAAAATATAGTTAAAGTAGCGACAGTAAAAGTAGTCTTTAGGTGCGTTCACACCGGAGTACTTTGGTGTACTTTTCCCACAATAGTTCATCAGAACTACGATATATTTGCGTTCACACCAAAAAGCCCCAGGAACTAAAGTAGCTCAACTTAGTTCGCGAGACTCGCTTTTCAGTCCCTGCTACAGAGCAGGGTCTGTCGTGGGAGAAAACAGTTCGTACGTCTGATTGGCTGTGCGGAATGCAAACCACGCCCGTTTGACTCTGATTTTTTTTTTGGAAGCGGCCATTGTATTTGCTCATTTACCCGAAGAGATTACTTTTGTGAAAGCAGTTATTATAGCAACACTAAATAAATCATCGGAGCGGTGGAATTGATGAGGATGTCTCGGCGCTTCTGGCGATTTACTCGGAGGACGCAAAGTGCGGAATTCAGAAGCTTCTACTGCATGCAGTTTCAGTGGATCAGCAAAGTTAGCAGACCTGGCAAAGTCATGTCGTGACGACTACGAAGGTAAAAATAAAATACATGCACTGCACTGTTTTAATCTGCACAATACTGGTCTTAGATGTACTTTTATTTGCTCAGTAGATCGAGCTAGCCATGCTAGAACTAGCTAACGTTAGGTCCAAGCTGGCTAACAACATCTAGCTAGCTAGCTATTCTCAGCCGTGCCCGCTATAAACACGTATTGACTTGTGAATAAGTGTGCAATGTTCTGTAATTTGCTTCACTAACTCATGGCACTAATCGTGTGTTTCAGGCGAGGTGTTTCTCTCAGGATTAGAAACTAGTTTTCCCCTCCGGGATAAAACGATAATATAACGTTAGCAATTAGCATGCTAGCTGGACCTCTGTGGCTACACTGAGGTAAACAGTAGATTGTAGTTGCTATAATTTCAAGTAATTTGCAACATTCATTCTACATGTTAATGGTAAAAGCTTAAACAGTTGATTACCTGCATGCCACAAAGACTGATGTTATAATATTTTTGCACATTTAAGTAGAAATGTAATTGAAATTCTATTTACTGCCTAAACATTGTTCCTTGTATTATCCTAAATAGTTTGACCTTGTTTCCTCAGAAGGCTTCTCAGACTACATGGAGGATCCCTCAGAGAAACACAGTTTCCACGTTCAGTTCCCCCCCGCTGAGAGTAGGCAGCTCCACACCCTGTGCCCGGTCAGCGGACACCATCAGGACTACCATCCTGACCGCTGCTGCCATACTGCAGCAAACAGGAGGGAACGGAGGTGAAAACACACTTTATACATTTAGATATGTGGAGCACAAAGAAAAGCATTGCTAAAAAACATTTAGCAGCTAAACTGTGGATAACAAGTAAACCACATTGGTTTGTTATTCAATATTCAAAAGCTTTTTGAATCATTACATGTCACTTGTTAGACGCTTTTATCCAAAGCTTACATACTCAATACTGTGGGCAATCCCCACAGGAGCACTTTGGGGTGAAGTGTCTCAGGGACACAACGACATGCTGACTGCAGTGGGGTTTGAACCTGTGCTCCCCTGATCCGAACACCAATGCACTTATCCACACGCCTCCCTATCATGTCCTGAGAGCCCTCCATCCCCCAATTGCTAGTGCCTTCACCATTTAAAATGTTAATAGTCAAATCAAAGGTGTTCCCTGTGTTCCTCCTGTTGTGTGCCTGCAGAGACAGATTTGGACAATGTTGTGTCGTTGTTGCGATTAAACTGATCTTGTATCTTGCATATTTCACCTTAGGAAAGTGGGCACGCGATGACAGCTTCCTTGACACCATCATGGC